TCTCTCTCTCTCTCTCTCTCTCTCTCTCTCTCTCTCTCTCCCCTCTCATATATATTAGTAAAAGAGGGGCTGGAGAGATGACTCAGCAGTTAGAGGTACTGACTGCTCTTACAGAGGCCCCAGGTTTGATTCCCAGCACCCACATGGCAGTTAATAACCTTCTGTAACTCCAGTTTTCCAGGGATCTGATGCATGGGTGCACTTACACACATTCAGGCAATACACTTACACACATAAAATAAAAATAATAAATAATAAATAATTATTTAAAAATGTAAAAGAAAATAATGTTACAGTCCCATCAAGCAACACTAATTTTTTTGTTTTTGTCTTTTTGAGACAGGGTCTCCCTGTAGCCCCAGCTGGCCTGGAACTCACAACACTAGTCTTTATTCACACTGCCATATTATCCCAGTGGTGTGCTGTGTGGCAGTTTTTCCTTTGACCAGGACATAAACCAGCTCCATATATTTAATTTAGTTTCTCTGTGTCTAGACTCCACAAATCTGCTCAGTTTCTCAAAAGTCCACATCAGTTTTTCAGGAGAATACACCAAAATTTTAGTTCATCTTTTGTTTTTTGTAAGATAGTCTCCCTGTAGCCCCAGCTAGCCTGGAACGCTCTATGTAGACAGGCTGGCCTCCATTTCACAGAGATCCACCTGCCTCTGCCTCCTGAGTGCTGGGATCAAAAGCGTGAGCCACCATGCCCTGAAATTGCAGTTTATCTTCATCTTCTATTTTCCCCTCATTGGATCCAGATTGTGCACTTTGGCTAGGGTATGTATCACAGAGGACCGTGTGTTCTCCTGTCTATCATTTTAGGAGGCATAGTGATCTTTCCCTCCTGACAGGATGGTCATGCTTGTTGGGTTTCCTCACTAGAGAACTGCCATTTTTCTCCCTTTGTAGTTGTTCAGTAATTTGGGGGAGACATTTTGAGACACTGTATAGTTCCTGGTCCTAATTAAATCCCCCTCCAGCTTTCATCCAGCCTTTGTTTCTGGGTCTGGGTCCTTTGTCTTTCCCACTTGTCTTGCTACTGAGCCTCCAGATAGAGTAGGGCCTGGGTCTGAGTGGGGTTGCAGTCCTAATTTGCCAAATGAATGTGTGTCTATTCTGGCTGCTCCCTCTTTAAAGGGGCAGATTGGCTTGTTCTATGTTCTCTTGTGGAAGTCTCTCCCACCAGGATGCTTTGTCAAGGTGAATCTTTTGTTTCCAGGCAGCTTTCTATGCACAGGGACATCACATGCATCTAGTAGTGACAGTATCAAGAAGCCTCTTTGGAGTGTCAGAGCCTCCAGATCCTCGAACCTGGGGTCACTACCCTGGCATATGAACCTCCGCAGCTTCCCCCAGAAGTGAGTGGTGAGTGCCAGAGGGTGAGTTTACTGAGGACACTGGGATCAGACCACTGACAGTTACATGGTTTTAGTAGAAACTTTTTTGTCTGTGCCCCCAAGTTTTTCTTTCTTGTTTTTGTATAAATAATATATAAGCTACTTAACATATTTATCACTCATTAGGGCGTGTGTGTGTGTGTGTGTGTGTGTGTGTGTGTGTGTGTGTGTGCTGAAAATATTTAAAGGCTGATGAGATGGTTCAGATAGTTTGCCTTCATGCCTGATGACTTGAGTACAGTACCCAGGACTCACATGGTAGGAGAGAACCAACTTTTGCAAGTTGTCCTCTGACTTCCATGTGTATGCTTGCATTCAGACACACATACTATACATACAATAATAATAAAAATTTAAAATTTTAAAGAAAATACTTGGGATCTACTCAGTAACTTCCAAATATTAAACTAATGATTGTGGCATGTGCCCATTGTCCCAGCTACTCAGGAGACTTAGGCAGCATTGCTTGAGCCCAGAATTAAATAATTCATTAATTAATTTTATTTGGCTTTTTGAGACAAGATCTTACTATGTAACTCTGACTATCCTGGAACTCACTATGTAGACCAGGCTAGCCTCGAACTCAGAGATCCACCTTCCTCTGCCTCTTGAGTACTGGGATTAAAGGCATTTACCACCATGCCCGGCTTATTTATTTATTCTTTAAACAAATTCCAGATACATTAAATTTTTTTACATTTATTTATTGTGCATATGTCTATGCGTTTGGGCATGGGTGCCGCGGTGCACATATGAAGATCAGAGGACAAGTTTCAGTAAAGTTTTCTCTTTCCATTATGTGGGTTCCGGGAATCCAATTCAGGTTGTCAAGCTTGGCTACAAGTGCCTTTACCTGCTAAGTCATCTCACTACTACCCCCAACCCCTTTTCTCTTGTTTTCTTCTTGGTTTGTGGAAGTCAGGAAACAAATTTTGGGATTCCAGCCTCTTCCATCATGTGGGTCTTGGGGATCAAACTCAGATTGTGAGACTTGGCAGCAAGTGCCTGTGTAAAGCCATCTCACCAGCCCAGAATTCTAACATCATCTTATTCACACCTTCAACTGATAGTTAGGAAAACCGAAACTATTTAAATGATTTAAATTTAAATGATTTGCCAGAGGCAGAGCTACCTACAGAAGGTAAAGCTCCTGACCTTTGACCCAAACTCTTTCTCGACCACATATATATTTTATACCAAGAAAACAGGTGAGAGTTGTGTAAGGTTGACCATAGTGGTCTGTATTACCCCAAAGGAAGCAGGCATCACCAGCTTCTTTCTCCCATCTCTGTATTTTCACCTGTGGTTTTAGGTTTTTATTGTGTATGTAAAATGCATCATTTTGAGTAAAGCACACTATAAGTTCTTAAATCCCACTGTTTTGTAAATAAGCAACAATAAAATTTTAGAATCTTAGAATTCAGACAAGAAGATCTGCATCTTAATTTAGATGTTTAGAGAACACAAGGTTTACAGGGAGACCCTGTCTGAAGAAGACAAACAACAAAACCCCACAAGGTTTAGGAGGCTGGGTCCCAACAAAGAGAGCTACTCAGCCTTTTCTCACACGAGATTTCTTCCTCTCTTCACAGGGTTTTCTCCTCAGAGAACAGCCTTTCTCCAGGAGGAAAGTTCCAGAGGCAGCCCAGTAGTCCCTGAGTTTAGCTGACCCAGGTTCCAGGTGAGCAGATGTCCAGATTCATGGGGACTCAGCAGGCGGCCTCCTTTCCCTTGGCCTGTGCTTTGCCCTTCTCTTGGCCCACTCGCCTTGGCCTGAAAGCCATTCAGGCAGCACAGCTCTTTCGTGTTCACTTGGTCACTATCACAGACCAAGTGTTTGCCATCCAGGAAACCCAAGCTGAGTCCATTGCCTTGTTTCATCCCTTGTTTAGAGACACATCAAGATTTCAATTGTGGGAGCAAAGAGGGTGGTGTTAGACCCTCCACCCAACTAGGCCTGGTGCCATACTTGGGAAGCAGAGGCAGAAGGATTACCACAATCTAAGCCAGCCTGAAGCTACTTCTCCAGACCCTCTCTCAGAGAGACAGATAGAGAGATGGAGAGAGACACAGAGAAAAGATTCTTTCCAATTTAAGTCTTTTGCACACATTGTCCATCAGTTTTCTCAAGGCAGCGTCTTCAAGGAGTCCTCTTCTTCATCGTTTTATGTGACTTCTTATTTTTGATAATTACACCAGAACAAATACCTTGTGTTCTCATTAAGTACTTTACCTGTCTGTGTGAAAAATAAAACCTACTTATACATATTTTATAAATATAAGCCTAATTGCCATAAATATAATAGAATATGGATACAAAGAAAAAGATAATTTTGTATAAATATATTTTAAAGTATATATTCCAGAATGCAAACGCTTGGACATGATTATACTTGAGGAAATAAGATAGTCAGATGTTTGCACAGATGTATCATCAATAATTGTAAATTAAGAAGGAATGAATAGAGGCATCTGGGGTGTCAGAGGGTGGACATGTATTGCACAGTGGATGAAAACCAGTATTGAATCAAATTATAAAGGACCAGACAGACAGAAAGAAATAAGTCTAACTGAAGCAAGGCTAGCATGTAGATTGAATTATGTCCCCTCAGAGGTACAGTCCCCTGACTGTAAGTATATGTGAAGGAAGTCTGATTCAAAAATGGACTCTTTGTAGGTATAAGTTAAGATGAGGTCATACTCTTTTGGCTGGGCCTAACCCCATGACTGATGCCTTTAGATAAAGGCCAGCAAAGGCAGAGACACACAGGGAAAATACCTGTAATAGACAAGGCCAAGACTGTGCGATGCTTATACAAGTGGAAAAGCACAAAGATCACTGATAACAACCAGAAGCCAGAAAGAGGCAAAGACCCTCCCCTAGAGCTTTCAGAGAGAGCATGACTGCTGATCTCTTAATTTTGGACTTCTAGCGTCTGAGAAAATACATTTTAGTTGCTTTAAACTATCAAGTTTTTGTCTTTGTTATAAGAGCCCCAGGAAACCAATATAGATTTCAAAGCAAATTACATATTGATAAAGGGGTAATACTACTTAAACAAGGAAGGCTTTTTAGTGTCAAAATAATTCTGTTTGCAGTTTGGGATGCAGTAGAGATTAGAAATCATCTAACCTTGAAAGTCAGATCCTTATTAAGATAGACATCCAGTCTTTGAAGGGCTAGATAGTGTTTCAGGCAATGGAAGAGAGCATATATTGGAACATGAAGGAAAACATTTAGAGGGTCACGAAAAGCTGCATGGTAGACCTTTGGGGACAGTATAAAATAAAGGTCAAAAATCATAGTCAGCCTCCAAAATAATTGTGATAGCACATAATTTTTTGAACTTAGATAACTCGTCATTGCTAGCTTTGACATACTTTAAATAAATAATCTTTATTAGTGAAGTTCATTGAGATCTCTGCATCTACAGAGTTCCAAGTCTGTTAAAGAGCCTGTAGGGGTTCCCAGATATGGAGTGGAGTGGGAAAGTTATTTAGAAACTGACTTTGGCTTAAAAAGCTGCAGTGTCCTCTGGTGCTCATTCCTGAAGGAAAAGAACAGGAGGGCTTGGCAGCCCCAGATAGATGCATAACCCCTCCTAGAAGTCCAACTTTAGAGTTATGTTCCCAAAAGTGAAATTGCCAAATCACAGGAGTCATCACTGTTTTTTCTCCCATGGGGCAGGAAGGGGGAGGTAGAATTTACTAAGCACTTAGCCACATACATGAACAACTGAGATGACCCGTGGATAAAGGAGGGGAAAATGGGAGTTCCCACTTAACAATGTTTTGATTCTAGCAGGCTTTGATGATGATGGCTCAAAATTTTATGAATATATATTTCTGGGTAAGTACCTGGAGGGCTTCCCAGGCAAGAATTAATTTACCACTTTATGGAGCAGGTGATTTGTGGCCTTTCAAAAAAAAAAAACTATATATGCGTATTAAACAAAAAGTTTAGCATATGGAGTGATTTAGAAATTAAATAACATATATTTCAGTTAAAACCATAAAGAAATTTTTAAGCTGTTGAAAATTGAAGGCTAGAGAGCTGACTCAGCAGTTAGGAGCATTCACTGCTCTTACAGAAGACTCGGGTTCGAGTCCCATCACCCATATGGCGGCTAACAACCGTCCATAACTCTAATTCTAGGGAATCTGACACCCTCTTCTGACTTCCATGGGCACTGCATGACATGGGTGCACTTACATACATGTAGGCAGAACACTCATACACAAAATAAAAATAAATAAATAAAAGTTTAAGTTGTTGAAGATGGATATTATATCAAAATAAAAAAATTATTAGAAGTTTAATAAAGGAGGCTCAAAACTCATTATTTCTTTGTAATCAGTTTCATTTCACTTGTGGTAAGTGAAATATTATGTTGAAATACTCTTCGATCATAGCAGAAAATGGCATTGAAACAGAACAGTTGAGTCCACATTTGTGACAGTGTAAGACTTCTCTGAAACATTAAGTTACTTTCTTTTGTTTTTAGTTTCCCATGAAATCTTCAGGACTCTTAGATGTAGGTGTCTCAGTTTGTATTAATTATGGCTTTGGCTCAGCAGGGTACTCCAAAGTCCTGCACAATGTTGGACAAGCTGGTACAATGCCAGATGTCCAGTGTTGGCCTCATCCCTGAATGGCTGTGGCACAAGCTGCTACTGAGCATAAGTGTTACACCCCTAAGTTCCCACAAGTTTACAGAGTGCCTGAGTGGCCAGAACCATGAGTTTACAGTAGGATATTCAATATCTTTCACAACTTGACTCTTTATCTACTTTTTTTTTTTTTTTTTGCCTTTTAGATGCTGGTAAAAACAGGACGAGGTGGTCCAGGCCTTTGCCCCAGAGGAGCGGCTGCATTTGGCTCAGAGGAGGTTCTGTGAGAACCCAGCTCAGCAGGAGGTCACCAGTCTAATAAGTAAGGACGGGCTCTGACTGGTCCCCTTTGTGCTTTTTTCCCCATCACTAACCCAACTCCACCATGGCCATTGGGAGCACACACTCCTCCAGGCCCTCACCCTCTGGCCTAGCTCCTGTCTCCAGCCCTTGTCATTTTGCATGCTTCCTAGTCACTGTCTTCTGTGGATTGCCCTGAATATTAATTCGTGTGATCTAGTTGGCCTTCCCTACTCACTCTCAGCCTCGGCAACCTCTTTGCATTGTGTCCTTCCCATCTTGGCTCTGTAAAGCTCGCCATTTTCAGATATCCTTTCACACTGAGGAGTCCCGTGAATGCTTCCCGTGATCCCTTTTGACCTCCGAGGACGTTCTCTTTACTGAACACTACTGTCCATGTTTAGTTTTTCCTAAATGTTCTCTGCTCTGTTGGGCCCTCTCCCCACCTGGCCTGGAACCTAGTCGTCTCTCTTACAGTATCCCAACTGTGCTACATATTTTTTCGAACTGCTGAAAGCGCACTCCTGAGTCATGTGTTGATAGTTTTGTCTATTTTAATTAGGAACATCTTCCCTGCCCCCTAGAGATTGTTTTGTCTTACTTTTTTCCTGAATATATGGAATATTTGTCATTTAAATAATTATTCCTTTAGTAGAAGAATCATAACTAAAAATGGTTTTGTTAATTTAGAGCAGGTTAGTGCTGAAGAAGTGGAACAAGGTGGGAAGACCTCACGAATACCCAGTGGGTAAGTGACGTTCCTGAGTGGCTCAGATCCTACAGATTTATGAAGAAACCACAGAAACCATTGAGTCAAAGCTGCTTCCCTGGAACAGTACAGAATGGGTGCCACTCACATCTGTGATCATAGGAGGCCCATGACAAAAAGATGGCCCATCAGCATGGAAGACCCATGCTGGTTTCCTCCAGCAGTCCTGCCCTCACTTAGTCTGTCCAGCTTTATCTCTCTTCCCTTACATTTTTATGGAAGTATAAATGGAGAAGCCAGAAGGCAGAGAATTTAGACAAGAGTGAATCTGCCATGACAGCTGAGAAAGGTGTCAGAGCTAGTAGAGAACTTAGGGTAGACATGCAGGGCATTTTCAGCCTCCATTAAGAGATCTGAACAAGGACTGGAGAGATGGCTCCGTGGTTAAGAGCACTGGCTGCTCTTGCAGAGGACCCAGGTTCAGTTCCCAACACCCACATAGTGACTAACAATCGTCCATAACTCCAGTTCCAGGGGAGTCCTCTTCTGACTTCCACATTCATTGAATGACTCACATGCACTTACACACATGCAGGCAATATACTCATACACATTAATATAAAAATAATATATGTAAAAGAGATCTGGACAAGAAATGGATCAAAAGGAAAGCAAATAGAGAAATTAGTTCTAGTAGTAGGTACTTCATCAGTGTTGGTTGGGAGAATTTGTGAAGTGTAACAAGTGCTCCTAGAGTTGAGAACGACTGGATCCCAGGCAGATTGTGGCTTCCAGTGAACCCATTCCCATCTCAACAACTTGAGAAGTGAAAGGAAGGAAACCAGGTGAGCCTAAAAAACAGCACAGGGTGTGATCCTCCATACTGACACTTAAGCATCTTAGGGAAACAGAGCCAACTCTGAGCTAAAATAGAAAACTCTTTTTAGTCTAGCTGCTAGGTATTAAACAGGCTTCACTGTGCACTCTACTACCGAGCCCCTAAAATAGAAGTAATTTTGAAGTCAAAAGAGGAGTGAAGCCAGGCGTGGTGGTGCATGCCTGTAGTCCCAGCACTTGGGAGGCAGAGGCAGGTGAATCTCTGTGAGTTCAAGGGCAGGCTGGTCTACATAGTGAGTTCCAGGACAGCTGGGGCTACAGGGAGACCATGAGAAAAAAAAAAGAGTAAGGTTTTTAAGTCAGTAAGGATTGAGCTGAGCTCAGGGAAGGAGCAGAGACGACACCCGTGACCTGGCACAGTTCTGATGCGTGGTGATCCTCCTTTGTGCCTGCTGGGTATCTGCAGCATTAGATGCCTGAAACCGTGACTCACGGTGCCTATAAGAGTTCAATATTGTATAACTGTATTAATTCAACTGTGAACCTAGAAACTTGCACCCACTTGTGAAAGAGATGTACTCTTGCTCTGGAGTGTGTTACTGAATATGTTAAA